CTACAACCTACTGTAGGTGACCCTGCTGTGGCAGGAGGGTTGGACTAGATGACCCACAGAGGTCCCTTCCAACCTCTACCATTCTGTGATTCTGTGGTTCAACCTGCCAGCAGTGAATCCCACGAAGAGACACGTGCACTTACCCAGTAACATGCACACGTTGTAACGGAAGAGGAGCAGGCCTGTCTCTGAGTGCTCCTTCTGCCGCTGCTTTGGTCACAACAATCCCATGCAATGCTACAGGTTTGGGGAGGAGTGGCTGGAAAGCTGCCCACCAGAAAAAGACCTGGGGGTGTTGGTCCACAGTCGGCTGAACATGAGCCAGCAGTGTGCCCAGGCGGCCAAGAAGGCCAACAGCCTCCTGGCTCGTATAAGGAACAGGGAGGTGATGGTGCCCCTGTACTCAGCACTGGTGAGTCTGCACCTGGAGTACTGTGTTCCGTTTTGGGCCCCTCACTACAAGAGAGACATTGAGTTGCTGGAGCCAGTCCAGAGAATAGCAATGAGGCTGGTGAGGGGTCTAGAAAACAAGTCTTATGAGGAGCTGCTCAGGGAACAGAGGCTGTTTAGTCTGGATAAGAGGAGACTGAGGGGGCACCTTCTTGCTCTCTACAACTATCTGAAAGGAGGTTGTAGTGAGGGAGATGTTGGTCTCTTCTCCCAGGTAACTAGCAATATGGACGAGAGGCAATGGCCTCAAGTTGCATCAGGGGATGTCAGATTGGATATTAGGAAAAATTTCTTAACTGAAAGAGTGAAAAAGATTGTCACGCATTGGAACAGCCTTGCCCAGGGAAGTGATGGAGTCCCCATTCCTGGAGATGTTAAAAAAATGTGTAGATGTGGCACGTCAGGATATGGTTTAGTAGGCATGGTGGTGTAGGGTGGATGGTTGGAGTTCATGATCGTGGAGGTCTTTTCCAACCTTAATGATTCTGTGATTCTATGACTCCCTTGCACTAGCTCTGGTGATTGTCTGACAAATTTTCATTGATCATCACAAATTAGACCAGTGAAAAAAATAACACAAAGTATTTTCAGCAGTTCAGCAAGCTGAATCAGCTCTTTGCTAAATAATGCCCTGAACCATCTAATACCTTGAGGTAAGCGAGGCCCTGCATTCTGCAGGCAGCCTTCTGCCAGCCTGCTGCTGCATTTCTGTGTTTTCCTTCTCCCTAGGCAGCAAATCCCACCCTACGGTGGCTGCAAGTTGTTAGGGCACGCATCACACCATGCCCATCTGCAACAAAGATTAAACAAAGGTGGTGAGAACTCATCACAAGATTGTGAAGTATTTGAATATCATATTAATAAAAACTACTGATAAAAAGTGTGTTGATATATCAATAAAAAAGGTTTCTCGTTATTCAATTAAATCTGGTCTATATAGAAATGTTAATCTGCCAGAGGAAAACAGTATGATCTCCTTGATTCTCCAAAAGCTTCTTTCTTTTCTTTAAAAAAAACAAAAAGCACAGGGTAAAGATACTCCAGCACATCACAAGACCTGGAATTCGTTTTGGTCTTTAGCAATTCAAGATGTTTCAGGTTTGAATCAGGAACAAGTTTCCAAGGCTCAGCGACTTTTCCTCAGCAGAACCACTGCTACAATCTAACAAAACTCGTCCAGTCCTTACCACAAAGACAGTCTCCAGCCGAAACATGTGATGTATGAACAGCTTCAGTGACAGTGGTCTGCTTGCGGGCAGCCATAGAAGCATCTTAAAGCCACTTACTTGGGGCCTGAGGAAGCTGCTGCCTTGCTCTTCATGCACTCCTTGAGGCCAGGCCAGAGTTACAGAAGAAAGATGTGTAGCATAAATACATCACTCCTTCCACCTCCCTGTGGGTCAATGGCGGTGAAAATAAGACAGACCCCCGTCTCAGCCACTGTGTGTTCTCTCAGCTAACCTCGTTCGAGAGAAAACAGCCAGTCTCAGATTTGAGACGCGAGATGATCAGGAGCAGGGAGTGACTGTGCTGAGGCAAAAGGAGATCTGAGGCTCTTCAGCTTCAGAGTCACACCCACACGCTAACTCCCTCTGGATCGCCCATAAACTCTCGATGCAGCAGTTATCTTGATGCCAATGGACCAGTAAGAAAAAGAGAAGCTGTCTCCTGGGATGTCACATTCCATAGAGAAGGAAAGAAGTTAAGGGATGGGACAGGGGAACAAGAATGACTACAACTGACTTTCAAAGTGGACTGCGTCATTTTGTGAGATAACAAATCAGGACAAATTGCACTGAAGAAAAAAGCAAGAAAGTGATGAAGAAAACAAGAATGAAAAGTACAGTATATGAAAGTGGATCTAGGCAAGCTAAATATATTTCAACGTTTAAACACTGAAATGTGCAGCACTGATTCTGTGACATATAAATGCTAACAGTGCTTACATACACAGCACACTGCCTCTAGGACAACTCAACAGGCCTGTTAAGTTCGATAACTTTCCTAATTCAAGCTACTGAAAAGACACCAAATCTTTTCATCATCATTTAAACACCTTTCCCTGACATTTCTTGTTCTCCGTTATTTTTGTTATCCTTCCCACACTGCCCTCCTCGCTCTCGGCAATGGCCTACAGGATTGACAAGCATTTACCCCAGCACTTCACACCGGTAATGACAGCCCTGGAGAAAACGCAGCAGCTTATGGCTCCAGTAGTTCTAAGAGAAAACCAAGCCACACACTGGGTGACAGAATTCCGACTCAATTTTTATATTTTCAGAATTCTCAAAAGTGGTCCTACGATTCTTCAGGTCTACAAATCATAAAACTACCCATCAACTTTCTCAAGGAATAAACTGATTAAAAGATATGCCAAGCATCTTTGCTCAAGTCTGATTTAAAGTGTCCAGCTAAACAGACACCAGAGGGTTGGAGTGGCAGTCTTACCTTCCCATCTGTAGAGCCACAGCCTCCTTCCAAAGGCCCCTGTTAAGTCTCTAGCACTGTCTTACTTACAAATATCAGTACTTACAATTATCTGAAGGGTGGGTGTCAGGAGGATGGGGCCAAGCTCTTTTCAGTGGTGCCCAGTGACAGAACAAGGGGCAATGGGCACAAACCGAAGCACAGGAAGTTCCGCCTGAACATGAGGAAGAACTTCTTCCCTCTGAGGGTGACAGAGCACTGGAACAGGCTGCCCAGGGAGGTTGTGGAGTCTCCTTCTCTGGAGATGAATATTCAAGACCCGCCTGGACAAGGTCCTGTGCAGCCTGCTGTAGGTGACCCTGCTTCGGCAGGAGGGTTGGACTAGATGACCCACAGAGGTCCCTTCCAACCCCTACCATTCTGTGATTCTGTCTCATGGCTATACAAGACAGAGGGCCACCGTACCACTTCACATCTTCACCTCACGCGGGCTGATAAAAGTGCTTCTAGGGTACTGCTGAGCCAAAACAATCCCATCACAGTCAGCTACCTCTCCCCGAGACATCTTTGAGCAAAGCTGTTCCACAGCAAAAGGCACATGATGAATACGTAAGACAAAAACATCTTGCCATACTTCTCAGGGTAGTATGTACAGTAGTTCCCATTAAACCAGTGAATGTTGCAACTGAATGCAAAAAACTAAGGAATTTGATGGGCTGAAGTTTGATGTCCATAAACACGCAAAAACTCCAAACGAAAAGGCAAGTGTGTACAAAATAATTTATTACAGCATAACATATGTTGGCAATATTTTACAGTGAGTTTTCCATTCAACAATTTCAAATCTAAACAGATGACACACAAAGGAGAGTTTTAATTAGAACAGTTTATTTGTCTTAATAAAATCCCCTCCTCATGAACTTATATTTGCCTTTGAGGGGTTAGTTAATATTACTGAAATTATTTACATTGCAGTGAAATAAAAATGAACCAGGATTGAATGATTCCATTACAGTTTCCAGAAAATTGATTTTCTGTACAAGCCACAGTATAGTTATGTTTTGATAGCAGTTCTTATAGAATGTAAAGCTGTCATATGTAGCCATTTTGTCCAGCAATACTATGCTTTAAATAGGTATATTAGATTCAGACTTCCATTTTGATGTGTTGTATATTTAATGGTTAATGCACCAGAACACAAAGTAAGAAAAAAGGTTCACTGTGATTTGCAGTCAGCCTCTTTGTGCTCCCTTAAATAGTTTTTAAATGTAAAACATACTCCTCACATACTATTTGCTTTGAAGCACCTAAAGCAATAGTAGTTAGGCATGAGAAGTACTGGAGTATTGGCCAGAGGTGGACAACTAAGACTTTTAACAGAGGTAATACAGTAAACTTACCAGCGAATTTTTATGATGTAGAGAAGAACTGTATTGCCCATTACTGTACCTTCTGCATTTGCTCAAGATCGGAGCAGCTTTTTCAACTTAAGTGTCAATAGGTGAACAGATGGGGAGAAACCAGAAGGAAGAGGAGGAAGGGGAAGATGGAACAACCGACAAACAACAGTATCAAATTTATTCTGTTTTCATAGAGAATTGTTTCAGAATACTCAAACTTAAAAATGTTAAACTGACCATAAACTTAGGAAAATAATAGTTATGGAACACAAGGTAGATAGAATAGTTTTCAAAAAGCCTTAGTGTGGTTTTTTTTTTGTTTTGTTTTTTTTTTTTACACAAACCTAATCTTCATATCCATCAACACCAGTTCGATATAAGACACACACCTGACAAAAACATGCAAACCCTCAATGCTTTCATCATCACCGTGCTTCAAAAGAAACCAAAAACTGACCAAAGATAAAAATAAAATACAAAACCAAAACCAGAAAAAAACCTAAAGAACAGTAAAAGATGAACAGGGCAATTCAAGCAGCGCTTCAGACTTTATCTGCTAAAATGCTCAAACGATAATTTATTAACAAGATATGATCACATTTATCTGTATATGTAACGACATTTATGTGAAAGCAGTCTTCAACATCCACATTTTTTTGTGAGGGAAGGCTGATGGATTATTAAAAGACTTAAAACTGTACAAGTATAAACATGAAAAATGCTGATTAAGGATAATGTTTACATAAATATTGGCAGTTTTTGTTGGGAGAAAAATAACTAATAGCATACTCCATTTCCTTTCACTATCCAAATAATTTGTTTTTTACCTGTTAAAGATATTAAAATACAACCTGGAAAAGTAACCCTGATCTGTATCCAGCCAGCATGTAATGAGAGTCAGAGTTTCGTATACATGTGTGCATGTAGGTATACACGCACACGGGCTTGCACACACTACTTCAGATTTCATTAGACAGCAAATCATGGTTAATGGCTGTGTGATTCACAGACGCAATGCTGCTATCGTCCTCGTTTGTGGCAGGCATAAAGGCAGACGTAAAAGGGAACAGTTTATGACATGCTGCTTGATACTCTTCACATTGAGTGTGGCAGCTTCCAAAACTGCCATCCAGCAGTGCCTCAAAGACCTTTGTTAACGTCTAAAGAAACAAAAGCAACAGTTAATAAGTGTGATTTACAATTGTTTCAGTAGTAAAAAAAGATGTGCTGTTAAACAATACTGATCTGAACAAACACAGGTTCTCTGCTGGTATTCAGGTATCTTAGTTACGTAAGGGAAAAAAAATGTGAAACCTTGTTCTTTCAAATACTAATTTATCATGATATATGAACCATTTACATTATTCTGCAGTTAAGTATACATTATTTAAGATCCCACACATTTTTTGGTTTTAAATACTGTATCTTTTACCTTCACATTTTTATCTCTCATGTTTTTATCCAATCTAGTAGCAACAGCAATTGCTTTTTCTTGTCTTGACTTGTCCAGGAAATACATCATCTTTGCACCTTATCACAAGAGAGAACACGACATTTAGATATCAGCATTCCTAAATGCAACACCACATATACTGACACACAGAATCCAAAAACTTACAAATCAATGTGAATTAGAACTTCACAAGTTTTAATAAACCATACTTTCCTCTCTTATTTATAAATTCAGACTAATGAAACTAAAGCGGTTTTGAAATTTATTAGAAGCATAAGGACTGAGTAACACAGGAGATCTGTTTCTGCAAAAGTAGAACGCCTCACTTGACTGAAGACCTGTCAGTCAAGACACACATATAAAGAGTACGTTGATGAGTACGCCCTTCAAGTCAGCAGGCTAAATGAAATCCATCCTACAAATGTAACAGCAAGTAAAAGACATTTCCTCAGAAACACTCTGAATTCTTTTCGAAAAGTACTGCAAGTAAGTGAACAATACAGCTACTGAACAATTGTGGAAAACTGTTTGGAAGAAATTCAGACCAGGATACGTCTGTCAGGCAGAAAGTCAGGCCGAGCTGGGCTACTAACCCGGAGCTGAGTGAAACAGCTTCTATGCAAGGAAAGCGTAACGCAAGTTTGGTGTTCTGCCTGGACTGGACTGCAGTGGTGAGAAGTAAGACAGTGCATTAATGTAACTATGCAGCTTCATGGACCACAGTTCACCAAAACTGGCCTGGGCATCACTGCAAAATACTGTGTTGCTCCTCGTATCACAGCTGCCTTAATTTACAAATTTCATCTTAACGAGCACATAGGCATTTCATAAGCTTTCCTTTGCCAAACACAAAGTCCAAACACACTTCACTACACAATCTGCTACAAAGAATAAAAAGCTTATGAAAACATTTTACTGAAAAAGTGGAAAACCCCACATTCTGAGCATTTTGTCTCCTCTTGCTCAACTCCCTTCCCCAATTATTACATTTTCCTAATTGAAATATCCTAGTTCTTACTGCATTTTACATCCAAAAGGTTTCAGAAAATAAGCTGCAGGACTGAATATATTTGGGTTTAAGTCATCATTATCAAAGAACTTACTAAACTGAGTTAAATTTGTTTAAAGTCAGGGAGGCTATGGTACAGAAATTGAAAAGGGATTAAAATTTTCCTTGTAATTTTTGTTACTGGTAATCATTTTAAGCCAAGGAAACATTCATTTGTACTCTCATACCTAAGGTTCGGGACTTCCAGACCTTTACATTTTTAAACCTGAATTAAAGATGACAGTTTCAGAAGTTATATGTTGCACAGCAGATAACTCCATCGCTTCGTATCTGTTTCAGCATGAACAGAAGACTGACACACAAGTGAAGACCTGAAGCTACCAAGGACATGTCTATGGTTCGTTCACTCCTGATTTCACTTTAAAATCCTAACCCTGCACTTGTTCCCACTGCCTGTAAGCTGACACACTGTTGGATCAGTGATCAATGGACCTTAAGGTCCATTCATTGACCCTAAGGAGCTTTTAGACATTCAAGCCCCTCACCTTCAAAATGGTCCCTGACATCTCTGTAACACGAGTGACACCACTGTCAATGATCTAGTTTGGGCTCTTCTCAAAAGCACTAAAGATGTAGATAGGGTGAAGCCAAATTCAGAAGTACGACAGTCTTAGCCTGTGCAATTACAATGACAAAGTGACTGCACTATTTTCCATAATAACGGAGGGCCAGAAAGTAGAATCTGGAAAACATCCATTTAGATGTCCAACAATGACAAGAGCGGAAGAACACATCTGTACGCATCAGGAGCAACTGCCTGCTGAGATACCTGTACTTGACTTCCCAAATCCTGAGCCTGCTCACAGGAAAGGGGTGCAAGTACGTCTCTCAAGATGCTGTCCTGAAACAGGGATCTTGTAATGGCCTCCAAGTTTGGGTAAGTTGGGGTAACCTTCCTTTAAGAGAGATAAACAGTCCTCTGAAGTTAACTTCCTCCAGTGGCTCTGGACAGAGCCTGTGTAACTTCTACCAACTAGGTGAGATTAGTACTGTTCCAAATACTCTAACTAGCTTCTCAGGTGACATCAATTTTTATTTCAAAACTTTCTGTATTCAGTAGACATCACAAATTTCAATTCCAACTTCCTTTAATTCCAGCAGCTACTTGTAACTCTTCTACACAAATAGCGTAAGACTGTCCTATTTCAACATTTTCATTACTGACCACAAAGCAGAAAAACAAAAGTAGCATAACAAGTTTGTCATGATATTTTTATTGATGCTGTTGCTACGTGACAAAGCCATGAGTAGGAACAGAGACATTTCCGCTGATAAGAAAACAGGGAAAAGCACTGCCTTCTAATATATAGGATTTTCTGCTTTATATTTTCTAATCATTTCAAAGCTAGAAGCTGCAACAGGAAGGATGGCAGTGCTTCCATACTTGAATACCTGTGGAGGTTTGATTGCACCTTCTGGAGGCAATAAGCAGGCTCCTTATGCATCTAATAAAAGAGTGAATGAGTTTTTTTAACATGGTAAACACAGGCAGAAAAAACCAAATGTAAACATGTGACTTTCTGGCTCATTGGAATTTATGTATGATTTCTAGACTGCAGATAAGGCTTCTGGATTTAAATCACTTAATATCCTTTTCAATAGCACTAAAAAGTTAAACGAACCTGACAGTTGGTGCTGAATGGAGGTAGCATTGTGTTTGAGAAATTCTTCATTAAAACTTTCCAAGTTCTTATTAACAAAGATTTTCTGCATTTCTTGAGTTAGGACCTTGCTCACAATTTCTGGGAGGTTACTCTGGTCGGATACTAGAAGGGTGAAGGTAAGACAGAGAAGCAAAAAGCGCTATTTAAACAACCATAGAAGCCAGTGTGAAACCATGAATATCACCGCTAAAATTCCATTTAAAAAAAAAAAAAAAATTGGGCCCAGAAAGAAGCACAAATTTCAGTTCACAGCAGTATTACAGGTCAACACAAGCATTACCAATGCATTTACAGATGAAACATGAAGTGCACTGTCATGTAAACTTTCTGCTGCAAGTTCACAATGCATACTCTGCTTCAGTCAGAATCTTTCTCCCATACCTGTCAGTTATTTTCTTACAACTGAAGTATTTCAAGGATCTCTGGAACACCTATTCCTTTGTGGAACCCAGCCAAAATGAGTTATTGGGCCCACCTCGTGGATTAACAGAAGACCAACCAGAACGTAATACAGACATAGTACCCTGCATAGCACAGCCAGTGTTTTCTTGGGTATTTCCAGGGAAAACAAAACATATTAATTTTTCTTCATATCAGTCTGTATTTCAAGAGTAGTTCTACATTACAAAAATATGTAGTTATGCCCTTGTAGAATACAACTTCCTTTTCCTGTATCTTTACACATACGTACATACTTCCTACACACATACCAGCTTTAGAGAATTTAATCAAGCACTCATGTAGCCATGGGTTATTACTGTTGATAGCAAAAGCTCTTTTGACAGACTGTAACATTAACAGAAACTTTCCTGTGGGAAGAAGAAAAAACATACCAAGATTAAGAACACAGACCTATTTATCTTTGTATCAACTACTGTTTTCTTTAGTAAATTTAGTACAAACATTAGAAGCATCCATGCTTACACAGAATTGGGAAGATTTATTTTTCCCATCCAAATTGCTTAATAAAATAGAAATGCCTGTTGCTTCAACTCTGGCAACACTGCATAGACGATACTACTATCTGTTTGGCTTTGTTTTCCCCTAGATAATTAAAGATCACACATCACACTGCAAATACGTTTATACAGCATTTATTAGTACATACTACAACCTACTTTGCTCTTAGGTTTTTTGGTTGTGTTAAGGCTGGCTAAATAAAAATGCCATTTCCCCTGTCACCACTGGATATGATGCAAACCCCAGCCTCAGTCGAGTAAGTATCTATTCCAGACCATTTTAGGCTACACTCACATAACACAGGCTGCAGTGAAGGGTTAAAACTTTGCAGAAAAAAAAAAAAATGAAGTTATGCAGTACTTTACCTTTTCTAAAGTATATTTCAAATGCTAATAAATGTGTTTCTATGTCATGTCCAATAAGATTCTTAAGTGGTATAAGGAACTTAATGGCTTCTTCTAATGGATTTTCTACCTGTTTTAATAAAAACAGAGTAAAATTTAAAATAAATGTCAAAAAAACACCAAGGAAAATTTTTGTTATTCTTAGCATTTAAATAATCAGAGGTCAAAGGTGAAGTGTAAATAGCTTCCTGAATTAAATCGAACCACAACATTTTTATTTGAACAGCAAGATTGACAAGTGTTTACTCCTGATTTCATGTTGACAAAGACAACATCATTGCTAACTCTGGCATTGCTTATGTAGTGTACTCGGTGTTGTCATTTAGCATTTCAGAAACAACTAAACACAACCACCTTAGACAACAAGCCTAAACTTCTGCAGTTACTGTGATGAAGGAGGTAGCTCTTTGGACTTAAGAGAAATACTGGAACATGTCTTAAAGTTTTGTGAACTGAAATCTCATTTCTGCTCATTTTTCTCAATTCACTGTATGAAAACCAGAGCTCTTCAGACAAGAACAATCTTTTTGTTCAGTATCTACTTTAATAGCCTACTGTTCAAAAAAACCAAAGATTAAAGAATGTATAATATTGTTAACACAGAAATTTGATTTATTAGAGGAAAAATATTAGTGTAAATAGAGATAGACTACAAAAAGGTATCTTTGTATGCAAAAATAATTTTATAAAAAACCATGGATTTTTCTAGGAGAACCTGATAGCAATCCCACATCATAGGCTTTTTATGACAATCACATTAATTTAACATGAAAGACCATGCTAACCCTTTCCAGTTTTTCAGGAACTAGCTCTTCCCTGGGTCCACTAGTTTCCTCTTCCTCTTCATCTCGCTTTTTCTTTTGATTCTTTTGTTGTCGCTCTCTTTCTGCATGTTTTCTTTCCTCTTCAAGTTTTGCTTTCTTCTGTGCTCTTCTTTGCTTGCTAAGCATTTTCTTCAATTCTTTGGCTGAAAGATTTTCTACGGATTAAAGTAACAAACACAGTAACTTGTATTAATGGAATATTTAATCAAAATTCTTGTTTCTCTCTAACAACATTTAGACATGCCACTACACTCCTCTGCATACAGCAATTTCCACAGATATCGGCACTTGTCAGACTACCATCACTACATAGTAATTCCAGTAGTAACGTGAAACTATTTACAGCATAACACAACACTTGATATTGCATATTTTCTCAGACACAGTTCTTATAGAAACCTCAACTATTTGAAAGGTTAATTCCATGAAGTTGTTGTATCTATGGCAGGTTTTACCTTAGAAAATGGTTTTGTAGGGTAATAATGAACTCCCATATTGACTGTAGCTCAGCTTCCTTCTAAAGCTAACTAGAAACATCCAGACAGATTTACACTCCATCTTAAAACAATCTTGCATCTTTCATTAAAGCATCTGAACAATATACAACAATGATAATCGCATAGATTTTCTGCAAATGCCATGGAATAGCTAAATGGATGCAAGCAAAAACTGGTATTGTTTGGTGTGAGGAGAGGTAAAATATTCTGGTATGTATTAGCAGGTCCTTTATATGAATCTTCAGGCTGTTTGCTGTCTCCAGATTTTTAGACAGGACTCGCATTTAGACAAACCAAGAAGGTTTAACAGTTGCATGAAAAGCAGAACACACAAAACACTGTTTCCTACAAGTTCACATAGAAGCAAGGAGCCTTCAGCCTCTCCATCCACCCCTCTTTTTTCCTTTCCCTGATGTCCCACTGACCTGACCAGTTTAGCCAGAATAATACTGTAGTTTCCACTTTGTCTACTGTCATGTTTCACTGAGAACAGGATTTGTGCTGCTAATGTGGCAAGGAACAGAAAACTGGGCTATGGAGGGACTAACACATCTTTCTGTGGCTATGGCACCATGACCTCTCTGCTGGGGCCAGCCAACACTATGTGAATGCAGAAGCAAGGAGCAACAAGCATTCTTTTCTGTTTACCCCCTTCACACAGTGCTGTCTTCCCCTGTGGATGAGCCTATGGAATCCCAATGCGCAGCAGGCAAATGAACTAACGTGACTACCTAAGACTCTTCCCCACCTTGGCTTCTATGACATACTGCTGCCAAGATCCTCTGTCACACACTGATCTTACATTATATACAGAAACAAATTAAAATTGGAGAGAAAAATAGATGCAAGTTCATTGTGCTGCGAAATATGCCTCTTTCTATATGTACTTCACTATATATAGGCAGATATAGAAAAACTTATTATTCACCTCTGAGTGAAAGGTAAGATTGTATTGGCAATATTAAGTGCCATTTTTGATTGTTTAACTTTTTGCCCCATGTCAAATATTCTTCCCTTTGCAAAGAGCTAGGCATTAATTCCATCCCTTTAGTCAACAGCCACTGCAGTGCCAACAGTCACTGCGATTCCACAAAAGGAGAAACAGCTATTTATCTTAAAGGAAGAAACCTCCTAACTCATTTGTCATTGAATCCTCAGGTTTCCAATCCTAACAGTGTCTGCTTTCCTTTTAACATTAGTTTTAAATAATCTCCTAAATGTATTAATTTTGCTAATACCCACATCTGTGTATTCTTTGGTCCTGAAGTTATGTGAAAAACAATAAAATGTAATGCAGTGTTAACTAGTATTACTATGTGATAAATTAAACACACTAGATGAAAATTAAATTCTTACAATTCAGACTGCTTCCCCACAAAAATCTATCCATTATTTCATAAGTCATTTGTGAATGATACTTCTCTTCTGTTTAAATGAATAAATGGCTGAACTGAATTTGATTTTTCCTCCTAATATTCTGAAGTGTCAGTCCTCCCCAAGTACTCCAACTATGGCTAGGTTCATTCATGTACTAGTTTTACAATATGATGAGAGGAGAACAAGGAGGAAGAAAACTTTAGCATGTTATCTATGATCTCTTTTCAGTTATCGGATCGTGACAGAAGAGAGGAAAAACTTCTCTATGTTACAATTTGTATTTATTCTACAGCACATAGCTTAATTAGCTTTCATGTGTCATACACGTATAAACCTCCATTATGGTCTACATACCTGAATTCACTTCTTGTTCTTTGCTTTCATTGGTAAGAGGATTATCATGGAGCTTCAAGTAGATTTCGATTGCCGATCGAGCAGCCTTGAAGTAGAAGGCGTGTTTCCTGAGCACATCTTCTAATCTCAAAAGGTCTACATAGGCACGAAGAGTCATCTTTCTCATGCAGTATGTGTGGAAGTCAAATTGATCATCTGTTATCTCAAAAAAATGCTTCAAGAAGAAAAAAACTTGACTGTTATGCACTTCCCTTGTGTAGTCTATTTTTTTAGTTAGATAGAGGTCAATAAAGTTACAACTGATATTATTTACAGGCAATATTTAACACACACAGAAATATCCTTATAATACTGACTGTCCAAGAGAACCTGTCAGTCGGAAAAACGCCCACCCAGAAAAATCTCATTTTGTTAACAAAAACTATAATATGATTGTTCAAAGACCTCGGCACACTCTAAAAGCCAACTGAAATGTGATCATTCTGATTAAAAAGCTATTGGCAAAAGACAGCATAAAGTTAATGCACAAATAGTTGTATAGTTAGGAGACATGGTATTTTATTTTGAATCCTTTTCACTTCAGATAGTTATTTTTCACACAATAGCTAGGGATGACATGTTATCTATTACAATAAATCATCAAGTATTAATTGTAGAAGTCAACAGACTAGAAACTTTATATGCAAAGAAAATCATGCTGCAGATATCAATTAGCAAAAAATCATCAGCAAATCTCTCCTTTAGCACATGAAAGTACTGGGAAAGAAACTGATAGTGTTTGCACCTACTTACCCTTTCTACTTCATGGCATTTTTTCAAGGCATCACCATACTTCCCTAGCCTTTGATAAGCTACAGCACATTCAGTCTGGAACCACATACACTGCATCTCGTTTAGGTTTTCCATAGCAGAAGTTCCTTCCTGAAATAAGTGTCATTATCACTTTTTGCTATTATAATTTACCAGTTGCTTCTTTTAACTACAGCTAATTTCAGGTCATTAGTAGGAAACAGTCAATCCTTCAACTACTTGGAATACAACAGAAAATGGATAAAACCACCCAGTGACAGAGAAGAACACTTGTCATACCGTATGCTCCCCAAGATACAAGAGGGTAGATATTAAAAAAAAAAAAAAAATTACCTGAACAAGATTAGTGTCGCAACAGATTTTTAAGATTAACTCACACTTGCATGCACAGTCTTACTTCTATAATTTGTGGGCAGAAAACACCATTGTTTTTAAAAATCTGGAGCCCTCAGCACACAAAAGACATGGAGCTGCTGGAGCAGGTCCAGAGGAGGCCACAGAAAAGGTCAGAGGGCTGGAGTACCTCTGCTGCGAGGACAGGCTGAGAGAGTTGGGGCTGTTCAGCCTGGAGAAGAGAAGGCTGCAGGGAGACCTTGTTGCGGCCTTGCAGTACTTAAAGAGGGCTTGTAAGAAAGACGGGGACAAACTTTTTAGTAGCGCCTGTTGGGACTGGACAAGGGGCCATGGTTTTAAACTAAAAGAGGTTAGATTCAGACTGGATATAAGGAAGAAATTTTCTACAGTGAGGGTGGCAAAACACTGGCACAGGTTGCCCAGCGAGGTGGTAGATGCCCCATCCCTGGAAACATTCAATCTGAGGTTGGACAGGGCTCTGAGCAACCTGATCTAGCTGAAGATGTCCCTGCTCATTGCTGGGGGATTGGACTAGATGACCTCTAAACGTCCCTTCCAACCCAAACTATTCTATGGTTCTATGATTTTGAAGTTCAGCAAATAATTTTCATTGTTTTTTCCCCTGTCAGGTAAGTGCCATCTACTAGTCTAAAAATCCACCAGTGTATTTACTGCTTTATCACGTAGTACAAAAAATAGTATGTTTCTTAGAACCTGTTAGTCTAAATAAAGTTAAATTTATACTTCATATTTTTATGAGAAAAAAATCCTAGGATTTCTTCTTTATAGTTCCAGTGCTCCAGATTAAGGATGAACAAACTGGAAGCACATTCCACACATCACGAATGCTAGCTACCAAGTTTTTAGAACAGTCTTTATACTAGGAAAGAAAACGGAGTTCAACTCGCAACTTTTAATTACATAGGATCAGATTTATCCAATCTTACCACAGGCATCTATGCTAGAGTTCTGTGTTTCTTGCTCTAACACTTCTGACAAGCTTACATGATGAGTTTTAGTAATCAAAGTTTCAATCATTCTTAGAAATATCTAAAAAGCTCGGACTAACTTTCAAGTGTTTTCAGACCTAAAATTAAGAAGAATTAAGGAGCATAATTCATTTATGTGCTCCAAGACATCCCACCAAGTAGCTGTCTTCATGGTTAGTTACATAAATAAAATGGAAATCTGGTCTTCACAAATATAAATTTTGTTCAATGTCAAAAATATGGAATTTAAAATGCTTACCCCATCTTTTAAGATTAGAATTTGCTTTAACAAATTTTTTGTCTCTAGCACTAAGTTAAAGGAATAAAATGTTCAAGTTGATTCATGTTAGTGCTAAATCACAATGAATACAATGCACATTCCTGTGTGGTTGGCTTCAGTGGTATTCCTGGGAAACAGCAAGTTTTGCTAACAAGGTATCCATAAGCTGCATTTCCACAGAGGTACTTAGAAGTTTGGCAATGAAAAGTACTTCTGGACAACTATCTCTGAACAACTATTTTTTCCACTGTTCACTTGGTCTATACACCTGGAGTACTGCAGCCAGCTCTGGGCCCCCAGCACAAGAGGGACAGCGGTCAGTTAGAGCACGAAAATCAATGTTTGAACATCTCTTCTGGCAAGAGAGGCCAAGAGAGTTGCGATTGTTCATTGCGGTTGTTAAGCCTGGAGAACAGCAGGCTCCAAGAAGATCTAATTTCACCCTTTCAGTATATAAAGGGGGCTTATAAGAAAGACATGGAGAGACTCTTCACCAGGGCCTGTAGTGACAGGACAAGGGGTAATGGTTTTAAACTGAAAAAGGGTAGGTTTAGACTGGACACAAGAAAGAAAGTCTTCACTCTGAGGGTGGGGAGGCACTGGCACAAGTTACCCAGAGAAGCTGTGGATGCCCCCCCCGGAAGTGTTCAAGCCCAGTCGGACAGGGCTCTGAGCAGCCTGGTCTGGTGGAAGATGTCCCTGCCCATGGTAGGGGAGCTGGACTAGACAATCTTTAAAAGGTCCCTTCCAATCCAAACCATTCTATGATTCTATATAGTTATTTACCACTAAGTATAAGCGTATTATCTTAAAAATGGATACTAAAAGATTATTTTTTTAAATTTTGGTCAAAAGTTACATGAGTGAAAAATAAACTAAACTACCAGAGCCAAACAAAACCTCTCTTCATTGAAGCAATACACTTACCCTTGTGAATTTAGAGCACATCTCCTCTGCATCCTTCACCATATTTGCTCGCAGCATGTATTTAGCACATTTAGAATTGATAAATCTGTCCGCAGTATCTAAAGACTGTGCTTCATCCATCCATTTGGCAGCTTCCTTGAGGTTACCTACATGCTGTTAGGGAGCAGTTAAAAAGTTAACTTTCACTGTAAGCCTGCTATTGATCAACTCCTGAAATCTATAGTTACTGGTATTTCTTCCTTGTTTGCTGCCTCCTGCCCCCAGATTTTTTCACAATGACATCCAAGTTATGACTTGCTTTGCAAAACCTAAACAAAAGGGTTTTCATTTTCTTCCTGACAGAACCATGCCTGAAAAGAAACCTGCATGAAATCCGATGCCCATAACCACTGCTAACTGAAATACTACCCACACATTCACACTAGTTTGATGGGTTGTGTTTTGTTTTTTTTCAAATGAAGTAGGCACTCTACATGTCCATATCCACTTTTTACCTTGTAAATCTTTGCTTTTAAATAGAATAGTTCTATTAATGTTGGAGTGCTTGCAATTGCAGCATTAATGTATTCCAAGGCCAAAGAACACTGGCCAAGTTTGTCAAAGTGCTGTGCCAGGAAATATCGAACCCAAAGCAGTGTCGTTGGGGGCTCTTTCTCTCCATTTTCTGCAATAAAATGGAAAAAGTTACAGTAACCAGTAAGGTTGAAGATTGTATTTGAAAAACAAACACAAGAAACAAAGCTTGGCAAACTCAGCAAATATTTCCTGTAATGTATTCATTTAACTAGAAGGTATTACAGCTATTATCTTGCTAAAAATATTACCACTTCAACACTTCTTGAGAACTGCCATAAACAGCATTAGTTATTACTGTGTAATTAATGGAAGAACATAGAAACTTACCACATGTACTAAAAAGGTCACAAGTTTTCAATGAGGCTTCATAACCAGTAACAAGTTCTTGGATTGTGGAAATCTGCATATAAAAAAAGTATTAAGTTATGCTTTACTATCGTGTTTACACAGATTAATACACTGAGAAAAACTACATGGGCAAAATTAGAGAAACTATATTGAAATAATTACTTAATTTGGAAAAAATGGATATACCCTCATACAGTTTACTTCACCTTTCACAAGCTACCTTTGATCATCTATTTTAACTGGTGATACGGCAGTCCAGGTGTAAGCTTTGGCAGCTTACAGCAGAAAGTATTCAAGTACATTTGATCAGTAGCCTTTTTAACTTATATTTTTAAATTTTTATTTATTTATGTTATTAGTTTAAGTGTCCAAACTGAGCCAACTGAAGAAAGGTGCCTTGGAAAACACTCTGCGTGAACTTCCCCTAACAATGAAGATATAGAAGAAACTTCTGTGGTTTTTGGTAGGCTGATACATAGTAGTAATGATTTTTTTTTTTGTTATTAAAAATGTATTGTTGTCTAGAACACAGGCTGCATCTTTTTGCATTAAAAAAACCTATATTTATTGATTGATTTGAAGCTAACACTTTCTGAAATCAAACCTTGTCAACAATATTGTTGTTCATTCCAAGGCTGAAGACTCAAATTCACCCACATGGTTCTGAACTCACACTATATGAGTTTGACATTTACAATACATACAAATGGTAGTAACTGCTCATTTCACAACAATGAACTATTCCAATACCAGACCCATGGCTTACAAGTGCAACACGGTATTTCTACACAGTTTACAAAATGCTCAACTTGTTCTGTAGCTACATTATAAACATGCCTGTCATATCCAGCAAGTAACCAGTCTCTTAAACATGAGCAACACTAAAGAAAAAAGTATGGTCTATGTATATATACCCAAAACACAGAAGAGACTTAAAAAATAAGAAATTACTGTACATGTAGCAGGATAATGGCTACATTCACCAATTATGTGAAACCTACATATGGTGAAAACCCTAAAACTTCAATGGTTAAAAGATGAACTTACATTACATAAAGCATTGGTTGCAAGAGTAAAATTTAAAAAATCATGGAGAGACAGCAAAATTTTCGAAAGCAGGATTTGACAAAGCACACATCCACTTCAAGATACACTTTGGGAGAGGAGGGGAAGGGAATAAACCTTGTTCTAAAAGATTGAAGTACACCATTTGAAGGATACTACTTTATTTAACCTAACTCAGCACAATAGGCAAGAAATACCAAACATTTTGTTTCAGAGAGAGCAGAGAAGGTGACACACACAAGTCTTACACAGCCAGTGTAAATGTCTCAAAAGTGTAATAAAACATATAAAGACACACATTCTGGAAAGCTCTGAGCAAATCTCATAAGAAATGGTTTCTGGTAGCAAAATCTCAACGATAAAATGTTACTAGACTTCAAAAAACAGCAAAGTGATAAAGAAACATTAAGAAGTCACATGTAAATAGACAAAGGCAAATAAATGCATTAAGCTGTCCTCTGGCCTCAGAAATCTGTTTACTAAAACAAACCTTCAACAATCTCAGAAGAATCTTTGAAGAATCTTTGAAGATTCTCTTCTCCAAAATGAGTTTAAGTACAGAAGTAAGCATCTGCTTCAGGTCACAGGCTTGCAGTGTGTATGTGCAACAGAGTAAGTGTTATTTCCTTGTTGCTTTTCACTACAACTTCAAAGTACTCCCAAAATTATTCTCATCTGACTTAGCAAACCCAATTTCCTCTGAGACCAAGCAGCTTTGCCAGACTGCAAGTGAACTGTGTTTAAAGGGAGAAAGCCCCCTTCGTTTCTTTAATAAACACACCCCACCACCACCAACCTCCACACACAATTTCTTCCACTAGTGCATACCTGGAGTACGGCTTCACAGCTGGACAAAGTCCATGCTACCACCAGAAAGAATGGTGCCACCATCTCCAAGCCACATGTGTCTCGTCCCTGCTTTGGGTCAGTGCTAGTGGCTGTATCCAGGGTTACAAGTGACTTACTCCCTGCTGTACTTCAGCATAGAGATGTCCAGTTACTAGTTCCATTACCAGAGGAAGCTGGCAGTGGCAAACCTGGGGCAGCAAGAAGGCCTCTCTTGCTAGCAGGAGGATCTTCAATCAGCTTACAGAACAGTGAAATCAAATCCTCTGATCCTGAGGTGATGGAGAATACCAAACTGTACCACTCTCCATCATCTATCAGCAGTCCTGGCTAACAGGGGAGGTCCCAGGTGACTGGAATATCCCCAGTGTAACACCCATCTACAAGAAGGGCCAGCAGAAGATCCTGGGAACTACAGGCCTGTCAGCCTGACCTCAGTGCCACGCAAGGTTATGGAGTGATTCATCTTGAGTGTGCTCACCGGGCATGTGAACGACAACCAGGGGATCAGGCCCAGCCAGCACGGGTTCATGAAAGGCAGGTCCTGCCTGACCAATCCAATCTCCTTCTATGACCAGGTGACCTGCCTAGTGGATGAGGGAAAGGCTGTGGGTGTCATCTACCCAGACTTTAGTAAGGCCTTTGACACTGTTCCCCACAGCACCCTCCTGGAAGGATAAAGAACTGGCGAAAATGGCTGAGCGCAAGGAGCAGCGGTGAACAGAGTTAAATCCAGCTGGAGGCCGGTCACAGGTGGTGTCCCCCAGGGCTCAGTTTTGGCTCAAGTCTTGTTTAACATCTTTATCAATGCTCTGGATGAGGGGATTGAGTGCTCCCTCAGTAAGCTTGCAGATGACACCAAGCCGGGCAGGAGTGTCAATCTGCTCAGGGGTAGGAAGGCTCTGCAGCAGGATCTGGACAGGCTGGATCAATGGGCTGAGGTCAATTCTATGAGCTTCAACAAGGTCAAGGTCCTGTGCTTCGGTCACAACAACCCCATGCAACGCTACAGGCTGGGGGAGGAGTGGCTGGAAAGCTGCCCACCAGAAAAAGACCTGGGGGTGTTGGTTGACAGCCAGCTGAACATGAGCCAGCAGTGTGCCCAGGTGGCCAAGAAGGCCAATGGCATCCTGGCTTCTATCAGGAATAGTGTGGCCAGCAGGAGTAGGGAGGTGATCGTGCCCCTGTATTCGGCACTGGTGAGGCCGCAACTTGAGTACTGTGTTCAGTTTTGGGCCCCTCACTACCAGAAGGACATTGAGGTGCTGGAGCATGTCCAGAGAAGAACAGGCTGGTGAGGGCAATGGAGAACAAGTCTTATGAGGAGAGGCTGAGGGAACTGGGCCTGTTTAGTCTGGAGAAGAGGGGGGTGAGGGGGGACCTTCTTGCTCTCTACAACTAGCTGAAAGGAGGTTGTAGTGAGGTGGGTGTTGGTCTCTTCTCCCAACTCACTAGCAATATGACAAGAGGCAATGGCCTGAAGCTGCATCAGGGAAGGTTTAGATTAGATATTAGGAAAAATTTCTTCACCAAAAAGGTTGTCAAGCATTGGACCAGGCTGCCCAGGGAAGTGATGGAATCCCCGTTCCTGGAGATGTTCAAAAAATGTGTAGATGTGGCACTTCAGGACATGGTTTAGTAGGCATGGTGGTGTAGGGTGGATGGTTGGACTTAATCTTAGAGGTCTTTTCCAATCTATGATTCTGTGACGATGTTTTAAAAGATGCCAAGTTCCTCCAAATTCACAACTCTGCAGTGGTTTTGGCTTTGCAGTCCAAGAAACTACACCAGAACTGTCATTCTTAAAACCACTCCGAACAACACATTTGGAAACAAGTATTCAACGAAAGCAACAGCTACAAAAATCATGCAAATCTGGTAGTTACGGTACTGTGGACATCCCTGATGAAAATGACAGTATCTATGTTTCTCATGACTACCCAATCTTTTTCCTCCCTTTTTATGCTTTTGTTTCAGTCTCTTGCTAGTAATTTAGGAAACTAATTCCAGGTTCATGTGCTGCTTCAGGGAACAAATGATCTGAAAGTACAAACCCTAATTGCTGTCCATATTAACTGCAAATTTTACAGTAAAATCTGTCTCTTAGATTTATTACCATTTATTGTCTGTATTCTAGAGTCACCACTACCATCTTAAAGGCAGTAATATTTTAGTATTTCTAAACACTACAGACTGAGAGGGGATCTTACAAAGGTCTTAAGGGTGGGCGTCAAGAGGATGAGGCCAGACTCTTTTCAGTGGTGCCCAGCAACAGGACAAGGGGCAATGGGCACAAATTGAAGCATAGGAAGTTCCATCTGAACACGATGAAGAACTTCTTCACTCTGAGGGTGATGGAGCACTGGAACAGGTTGCCCAGAGGGGTTGTGGAGTCTCCTTCTCTGGAGATATTCAGAACCTGCCTGGAGGCGGTACTATGCAGTCTGCTGTAGATGACCCTGCTTTAGCAGGGGGGTTGGACCAGATGATCCTCAGAGGCCCCTCCCAACCCCTACCATTCTGTGATTCTTCTTAATTTTACAATTTCTAAAAATCAAGCCGAAGTATCCGGAAATATCATGATACTGACCATGAGTTATTTTTCAAACAGTATTATTCTAGGAAAAAAGTTTCAGTTATTCCCTTGCCACAGATCTGAAAAAAGTTTAAGGTACTGGAAAAGCATAACTGAAGACATCAACAAATCTGAGGTTCTATTATGACACGAATGGAGCCAATTCCAGAACTGGGACCACCAGTTTCAGAAGCCTCTTAAAAAAAAACCCAAACCAAAATTCAAACCCCAAGGCTTTTCACTATCCACAACTTCAATTTCATTATGAAAGAACAAGGAGCTAAGAAGCAAGAATCCGAGAAGGGGGAAATGGGCTTTAGCATTCCCTCTTAACACAGACAAGTGAAGTGTTCTTTTCCCCTCCTACATATTATGTAAAGATTAAATCTGTAGGTCCTCAAACCAGTACAGATTTTTGTCGTGCAATAATCTTGAAAGCTAAGAAAGCATCTTCCACACTGCACTACTTGAAGGAAAGGCTCCACAAAGGCCAGAATGGTCTTTTTTTCCATTACTGGGCAGTTTATTTCCACTGGAAGTGAAGGTTTCATAAATAAATTGAGTAA